CAGTAATGGCATAGCAGCCTATGGTGGTCCCTCCTCTCCATCCTTTCAAACTTGTTACACCTCTGCTCAGAAGACAGAAATATTCACTCTCATTCTATTATTCAAAGATGTGAAGTAGTCAATATTATTGGTGATTCAGCATATACTGTACAAGTCTGTTCTTTCATTGAAACAGCAAAACTAAAATCAGATCCACCCTCTGACATTGATAAGTTATTCCTTGCCTTACAGACTCAAATAAGATGCCTCCTCTATCCATTCTTCATCGGGCATAGGAGGGCACACATGCAGTTGCCAGGGCCAATTTCTATGGGAAATTCTAATGCTGACACGTTAACTCAAAGGCATTTAGTATTCTTACACTCCCAAAAGTTCAGTATCAAAATTTATACAACACTGCTAGCCTAAAATAAAGGTATCATCTAACAAGGGACCAAGCCAGACAAACTGTCAGCGAATGCATTCACTGTCAGCAAACCTCACTTAGGGAGGGAAGTGATGGAGTTAATCTATGAAATTAGTCACATGCACACTGGCAAATGGATGTCACTCACAAACCCTCATTTGGATGCCTGGGAGTGGTACATGTTACCATAGATACTTTCTCAGGATTTTTATGGGCATCAGAGATGACTACTAAATCTACAAAGCAGATCATCAGCCATTTACTAGCCTGCTTCGCTGTGATGGGTACTCCAACACATCTGAAAATGGACAATGGCCCCACTTAAACCAGTGAAAGGTTTTACAGTTTTTGTCAAGATTGGAATATTCATCACATAACAAGCATCCCTTACAACCCTCAGGACCAGGTCCTTGTTGAATGGGCCCACAGCACGCTAAAATCTCAATTATTAAAATAGAAAAGGGACACCAAGGGTGATTTCAGTACATGAGAAACTTCACTTAGCTTTAGTAACTCTAAATTCTTTCTCTTTTCCAGAAGGTTCTAACATAACTAAGGCAGAGAAACATTTTTCTAGTCCCACAGAAAAAGCCAATCCAGAGAAGATCTGGTGAAAAAATGATGACAGAATATGGGAGCCAGGGTTACTAATGCCTAGGGGCAGAATGTATGCTTTTATTTTTTCAATTGATGGAAAAGACAGATGGATATCCTTAGAAGAGAGTGACCATATGTTGCGAAAGATGAGGGAGAAGAGAAAGAATCTAGCTAGTCCTTTTGACCCCAATTCTGTTCCCACCAAAGATATGGCAGCCCTAGTCATAAGAAAGAAACCCGGGGTAAAGGAAAATGCACCAAGTGCTCACCAACAATCCCTCCACGCCAGCTGGGGACAGGTGAAACTGATGAAACACAAAGCACAGATGACACTAGAAAACACTGGCAGACTGATGACCCATGAAAGTATGTTTCTAGCAGCGATTGTAATTACATCTTTTGCCACTGAGGTAAGTGCTAACCATTCTTATTGGGCCTATGTTCCCCATCACCCCCTACTGGAAATTGTAGAGTGGACCAAAATAGGCCCTGCCATATTTGTACATGACTCTGTGCGATAATTAGGTTTGTTGTGCCAACCTGGCCAATAGGAACATGTGGAATTACTCAGGTCACAGTTTGATTGGAGGGCAAAGAGATAAATAACTCTGCAAGGCCCACCCCCCTCTCTCTTTGCTCTCTGGTGATCAGAGCAGTGTGCTGCTGGGTAAGCTGGTTCTCTGCCTCAACCTGTGTGTTACACTACCTTTGAGGCAAGCCAACCTGTGGATCATGTTGTTGGAGCTTGAGACCTTCGAGACCTGCTTCGCCACACTGCTGGTGTGTACATTGCTTGAGGTTGAAGCTGGTGGATCCTGTTGCCTTGCATTGGTTGAGTTCTATATCCCATCCAGGCCTGATTTGCTAAGCTCCCAAGCTAATGACTATTGCCGATCCAACCTACCTAGTACACTCTGTACGGACCCCAAGGCCTTGGGGAAATGGGATATTCAGTTATCCTGAGGAAAAAGGTAGGAGTCTTAACTTTATCATAGGTTTTGAGGCATTGCCATTAAGTGTGGTACCAGCCCTAGCTGTTTAACCATTAAATCACAAGCTTGGAATAACTGACTGGTATTTAACAACACTGGTCATGATTTGTACATGGTAGTTGTGGAACATTTACAGAACATGAGAACTCCAATACCAAGGAAGGAAGAAGTGGTTCAGAAACCTTAAGATCATGAGCTACCGACACTTCAAAGCTGTTAAACTCAAATGGCTCAAGTATCAGGGGCCACACAGAAAAATACTAAGAAATGATGCTGTAACTCTCATTGACTAGGGATGGCCCCATGGAAATTTTCTAACAAATTGCTTTGAAGAGTCCAATTTTATATCAAGTGACTATGTCAATAATTTCAAATGGCACAAGGCCTCTGATGGTATTTTAGCCACCATGTCACATATTAAACTGGCATTCCATCATGCTCACCTTTCTGACTTGATTGCTGAAGACAAAGTGGGCGCATAAGCAAATGTAGTGAAGAAAGCTGATGGAGCCCGGCTAACAAAAGATATAGCCTATGGGGTCTTAAAGGCTTGAAGATAAACATGTGGCCATCTAGCTCAAAAGCAACAAAGCCCAAATGGAAGAAGCACACCAACCTGTGTGATCATGAGGTGTTGATAGGATCAGGCATCAAAGAACAAAAAAACTCCTATCATTGTGAATGAGGGGGAGTGCAGAGTGGAGACCGAAAGCCCATCTGTAGGCAACTGGACATCCCCTTCCAGAAGGGTCACAGGGAGGAGATGAGCCAGTCAGGGTGTAGTATAGCACTGATGAAACATACAATTTTCCTCTAGTTCTTTAATGCTTCCTCCCCCAACTATCATGATCCAAATTCTACCTTACAATTCTGGCTAGACCAGAGGATGTACACTGGTACAGATCAGAGTGGGAAAGTCAGGAATCCAGGACAGATAAACCCCTCAGTACCAATAAGAGAGTAGAGATACCAGGAGGGTAAGGAGGAAGGTAGGGGAGAAAGGGGGAACCGATCACAGTGATCTACATATAACCCCCTCCCCAGGGACAGACAACAGAAAAGTGGGTGAAGGAGACATGAGTCAGTGTAAGACATGTAAAAATAATAATAATTTATAAACTATCAAGGGTTCATGAGAGAGGGAGGGGAGGGGAGAGGCGAAAAATTAGGAGCTGATACCAAGGGCTCAAGTAGAAAGCAAATTTTCTGAGAATGATGATGGCAACAAATGTACAAATGTGCTTGACACAATGGATGGATGTATGGATTGTGATGAGTTGTACAAACCTCCAATAAAATGATTTTAAAAAAGAATACAATTTGTAGACCAATTGGGGGGAGGGGGATAATCAACCCCACCATATCTTCCCATGATAGTGCTCCCTTCAGGTTACTTCTTACAAGCACATGGCTGATTACTATGCAGCCGGCAACCCTTATCTATAGGAGCAGACATATGCAATTGTTCTCTCCCCTCAGTCAACTACTTTTTACCTGCCCCCAGCACTGGTGTTACATTACTCCCCCAATGAACTCAGGGACATCTACGTTAGGACACTGCCCACCATGTTATGTATGTAATTGTCTGTAGCTAGGGGGGCTTGCTTGTTCAGAGACTATATAAATTGGTGAAATAATACACTCGCTCTCTCTCTCAATCCTGACCTCATGGAGGAGGTAAGCACTCTATATTCTTTGTCTGTCTCTTTAATTTCTTCTTAATTATACAACCGGTCCTTAGCACCCAAATAGTTGTGGGAGTCTGGGTCACTCTCACATGCTAGCAACCAAGCATTAACAGCAGCACCCATGAGTCCGAATCAACTCCACTGTTGTGAGTTTGGTTTTTTAAAGAAAAAGAAACTCACTGCCATCAAGTCAATACTGACTCATAGTGACCCCTTGTGGCTTTCCAAGACTGTAACTGTTTTCAGGAGTAGAAAGCCCAGTCTTTTGCCAACAGAGATGCAGGTGGTTTCAAACTTCCAATAAAGTGGATCGCAGCCCACCTTGTAACCACTACACCACCAGGGTTCATACTTGTGGAAGGAATGTAAAATTAGACCCTTCGAACCAGGGCCAGGACAAGAGTGTGACAAGGAAGTGTCTAAGGCACAAAATTTAAGAAGGTTTGTACAAGCACTGACCTGGTACTTTCTATGTGCTTTTTATGTGTTCATTCAGGTTATCAATGAAACCCTATAGGTTAGTATGTTATCTTCTTTTTAGAGATAAGTAAAGCTAAGTAAAAAGAAATTATCATGACAGAAGACATGCAGTCAATAAAACTCAGCACTGGGATTTGAGGCCAGGATCTATATCTGGGCATTCTTAAGGTTCACATCTAAATTTCATGATGCAATGCCTCAATGGATTAGAAAATGGCCAAAACAAGGCAGGTAATTGAGAATTCAAAACCACTTCCAGTAAACATAACTGCTACATTCTTTATGTAGAGGCCTATATGTTATCTAGAAACTTTCCAAGTCCTCAGATAATCTCCTGTTCTATGTCTCCAACATATAAGATCTGGCTCTATTCTAGGAGAGATGGTAATGGTAATGCCCACAGATGAGTGGGCAGGGGCCAACCAGCAGTGACCTTATCATATTTATCTTTGGACAAAGTGGACATCAAATGATAAAAAATTGCAGAATGAAAGAAAGCATGAGACTCTTGCTATGCATGCATTATGTGTTATGCCACGGGTTAACAAAAATAATCATCTAGTATCATAATTTTAGACAAGCATCATAGCAGATTCTTGAATACTGTTGTTGTGGCTATAAAAACAAGATGATCTGAAATAGGTTCATGCGGAGCACTCACTTAGCACATTATACACATACCGCACAAGAACTGCAAAACCTTTGGTTGGCTACACTATTGACTGGGCAGGCTTAGATATAAATTACTTGGCCCACAGAATCAAATCTGGCCAAACGAGACTGTCCTCAAAGCTTTAGTATTTGATTATTTTTTAAAGGGCAAGACCACTGTCTTACCTTGTGGTAATCCTCTGAAGATTTCTGTTTCTTTCTTTGACAACATCTGGACATCATTTCCCGCTCCCGCTTCTTATCAAGCTGTGTTATAAATATTGTCATGCTAGAGAACATTAGGCATTTTTTAAACTGCAGCATACTTTGATATGATATTCTGTGAAAGGACAAAGGTAATAAATCATGCTGACTTAGTTTTACACAATTTTGAGGGTACTGCTCAGGGAGCTTGTGGTTAGCCCTTGGCATGTCATATGAGAGGCACACCAGGAGCTTTGTCAGACCTGAAAGCAGAGGTCTGGAGGGTTGCCAATGTATCCCAGCAGGCCGTGCATGGCAGGGTGTGAGAGAGCCACATGCCTATTCTGCTCTCACCACATCACCCCAAGTACGACTGCAAACTACCTTCTCTGGCAAGCACAACGATAAACACAGTTGCTCTTGACTTGCAGAAAATGACTTAAAGAACGTGTATTCACATTTATAGGAGTAGTATCATTTCCAGAAAAATCCTATTTATACAATGATTATTGTTGTCTAGAGTAAATCATCTTAATGTGTTTCTTCTCTTTGTGGCGCACCTGTGTAGCGTGCGGTGTTGGATCGAAGCAGAAATAAAGACACGGACACGGAAAGTGTGGTTAACACCAGTGAAGGGCTGACACCTCTGGCTGTGTGCTGTGCCGATGGCCGCCCTGCATGGTCTCTCATTTTCTCTGCTAGCTAGGGCATGGGTTAGTAAGCACGCTTGCCCTTCTCCAAAGTAAACAAGGAATAAGGGAGCAGACTAAGCACTAGGTTCTCAACAAACTGCCTCATCAGGACGCTCAAGGTGTCAGTCCTGGAGAAGGAGCACAGTGCCCTCGGTCAGGCCCTGCTCCCAGAACTGCATCCAAGTCATCTGTAGCCCAGGTGCCCAACCACCCTCGTTTTCCAGGGGCATCTGGTGTCTATGGAAACAGTCCACTGCCTTCAGACTCTGTTAACTCGTTTGGGGCCAACACGCCTGGCCCATAGCCTTGACATACAGGAGGAGGCTTCAAAAAAATGCATGGAAAAGGTCTAATTGAACGCTAATGGAATCTTCCCACAAACGGTTTGAAGCCCTCTTGTGTAAGGCACACCACTTCCAAACTACAACAAAGGCAAACTGTGCTGTCATGCAGAAGCAGAAGGAGAGTTAGCAAGTAGGAAAATCCTGAGGGCCCCATAATCCATGTAAAACTGTTTCCCTGCAGCAGCGAGAGGCCAAGCAACGGATGTGGGACATTGTTCTCCAGGGCCCCTTCTCAAGCCAACGGCTCACCAACCCGCAAATGCCCTGACTGCGACAAACATCACCAAAGGTGGTAAGGGTCAAAACCAGTAAAGAGGATCCGTGAAAATATGTCTCCATTTATCTCTTCTTTGCCTCCATTTGTGTATTTCTCATTTTATAGTAATCAAAATTTCTAATCACAGTGGACCTAACTCCTACTCTCACTCTAAAGATTGGCCTGATTGCTTTCTAAGTGTATAGATTCTTCCCTAAATCAGAGAATTCATTTTTACTCTCATAAATCTTGCTGTCATAATAATTCAGATGATTTCTGAAAAAAATAATCTTAAGAGTTTTAAGTTAATTTAAAATGATCTTCAGTATTCTTTCAATAATAAGCAAGATCCTCCAAACATTTTTGCTTTAACTCTGAAAGGTATTCTTATATTTATGATTCTAAATTAGTAGCTGAAAAACTGAAAATTCAAACATTAAGAATTAATGAGAATTTATGTTGACACCACTTAAGAAATCTCTTCAAAGCCAAACCACACCAAACCCACTGCCACTGAGTCAATTCTGACCCACAGTGACCCTGTAAGGCAGGGGCTGTACAAGGTCTTCCGAGGTGACGTGCAATGTCTATGGAAGCAAACCACCACCTCTAGCTCCTGCACGGGGCTCGTGTGCTTGAGCTGTCAACATCTTGACTAGCGGCTGAGAGTTCCTACAAGGAAGCTCACAGAAAACCCCACTCTTTCAGTCCCATGTTTCCACAAGCATTTTGAGGTCCCGATGCATACAACTGACACTGAAACCTGCTGTCATGTGTCTGGTGTAACACAGGTGCTTTCATGCCCTATGTGGGCGTCATTGTCTCTAATGCTCACAGCTATGACCTAGAGCGGAGTTAGAGACATGCTCCTCTTGACTGCAGAATGTTGTCCACACCGGAACATTGGGACTAGAAGTAAGTGTAAGCACTGTTTTTTGTAGAGCCTCTTCTAACTAGCTTCTAGCTAAAAATAAACGCATTCGATTTTCAGTTGAAAAGCTATCACTAAGATTTAGTGACAAAATTTATCTTAAAACACTATGTGAATATAAACTTAGTGACAGGGTACTTTCTGTTGCTAAGAGCAATGCTAGAAAAAGTTTCATCTTTGTATGGTTTTTCACACAGAACAACCAATATTAGTAAAGAAATGCTCACCTTTAAATGCAATAAGGGGGTGGTGAATATTAATGGAAATATATGTCAATTCTGATCTGTTTATCATTTATTTTTACCAATAAACGAACCAACTGCCTTCATACCAATCCCAGTCAAGGAGACCCCAAGTGTGCTCTGGTAGAAACTGTGCATAGGGCTTTCACCAGCTGGTTTTTTTATTTATCTAGATTGTCAGGCCTTTCTTCCAAGGCACCTTTGAGGCTAGCAGGAGAGCACATGAACCAGTTACACAACCTGGGTGCTCTTAGAATCAGCAGTGCTAAACTGCCAGCACAATTTTAGAAAACCATGTTTTTAATTCTATTAGGAAAGTATGCTTACATCACTAACTACATTTCAACACAGAGACACTCCATCAAGAATAAGGGATAAGCATATACTATATCATGGTTTCTTTATGCTTACAATATACAATAGCAAAGTCATGTCCAACTTTTGAACTTTAATTAACAGATTATAATAGTTTGACTTCTATCGTGAGTGATGGAACAAAAAGCATAATGGATTCAAGTCTATGTAACAAGGAATAATCTCGTTATCTCATGACATCCTCACAGATATGCTATTCACAGCAACCCTAGAGGACAGAAGCTTCCAGTATTGTAATCTGTACAACAGCAGGGTACCTCAGGAACTCACCCTGGGAGCAGAAGGTGGGTTCACACTGCTAGCCTTTTCGTTCTCAGCCAAGCCCATCCCCACTGCACCACCACAGTTACTATACATTATAAAACTGATTTTCAACAACAACAAATCAACATGCTTCCTACACAACCCATTCAAACATCAAGATTAGTTCAAGGCCTGAAAAATGGAGAATATGAACAACTACTTAGAATAATATATTGAGATACAGTAGTCATTGCCATATTTATAATTACATGGTTTTGAAAGTGTACATTTCCTTGGAGTTTACATTTATGTTGCTTTGCTTAGATCATTAAAAGCGAAATGCTAAATGGAGTAATTTAGACTAACTTTATCTTGGTATTTACCCTCATAGAAAAAGCAAATACAAAAGCAGAATGTCAGTCAGATAAACACTGCAAAGAACCATCTGGCACAGATAAAATTCCACCAGGCAAACCATCTAATATAAAAAACAATGGTTAGGACCCACCTGCTTTCCTTTCTCAATCTCTTGCTTTAACTTTTCTTTCTCCTTTTCCTGCTCCTTATTTTTGATCAGAATGGTGGGCTGACTTGTAGGAGATTTTTGGTTAAGAATTTTAGCCATGGCATCTGTCCAGCCTATATTTGGCCCAACACTAGATTCAGCATCATTTTCATTTTCTTTGTCACGGGTTCAGCATCCTCCTCATTGTCAACTTCTATAGTATCGTCATCAGAAGAAAAGTCATCCTCTTCCAATCCACAGCTTCTTACAGAACCCAGGAGGAGACACAAATGAAACTATATACCCTAAGTGGAGGTTGCCAAGGTGATGACCAGATCTCTGGGGCCCTTCATGAAGCTTACAGCTCTCCACCTGTCTTGTCTAGGAGGGGACATCTCCAAGTCCCATTATTGCCGAATCAGTGGAAAACAAGAGAGCTCCTCACCCACTGCCATCAGCTCCCCAAGGCCTGACTAATCAGGATAACAGGGGGAGCCAGAGAGGCTTCAAAACCTCGCCTCCAGACAGAAGTCTATCCACTGCCCTCACTGCCCTCCTGCTGCCAGGAGAGATGCTGACAGAGGGCCAGTGCAGGGTGCTACTTAATCCATGGACCTTAGTTAGGGTATTCAACCTTACCAGAAGAGACTAATGAAGATTATTCTATACACAAATGACAACAGAAACAATAATCTAGCAAGAAAATGGTACAATATTATCCAATTAACTTCTCTGATTAGTTGACAGTTAAGATTTTTACTCTACTCACAAGAATGCTATAATAAAACCATGGGAAAGAAAAACTAGAAAATAATCTTACCGTATGTAGCTTGCATAAAAATGTTGAGTGATTCGGTTAGTCCTCCTTCCCAACATGCTGCAGTTGGTTAACATCATGGAGCTGAACCTGCCGTAGCTAGAAGCAGTTGGACCAGGAAGTGGAGTTCCTGTCCACGTCCATCACCCAGCTCAAGGTGGTCCAGACCAAGTTTGTGGAAGCCAAGGACTGTCTGAACGTGCTGCACCAGACCAATGAGGGGAAAGAATCGCGTGTCCCATTGACGAGTTCTATGTATGTCCCTGGGAAGCTCCATGACGTGGACCATGTGCTCATCGATGTGGGAATGGGCTACTATGTAGAGAAGGCAGCTAAGGATGCCAAGGACTCCTTCAACAGGAAGATCAACTTCCGCACCAAGCAGATGGAGAAAATCCAGCCAGCCCTGCAAGAGAAGCACGCAGTGATACAGGCTGTCATGGAGATGATGAGCCAGAAGATTCAGTAGCTCACCACTCTGGGAGCCACTCAGGCCACTTCCAAGGCCTGAGCTTTAGCCGCAGAAATTGAGCAGTGTGTGTGTGTGTGTGTGTGTGTGTGTGTGTGTGTGTGTACACGCGCGCGCCTGCGCGCGCGCACATGCTCATGAAGAGAGAGAGAAAGGGGTGTCTTCTGGATTTTGTATTTTAATGCTCATAAATGTGGAAGGGTGGGGAGGTGGTCTTGTGGACCTTGTGTTTTAATGCTAATAAATCCCCCAGCCAAGCAAAATATATATATATATATTGAGTGATTTGGGGAAAGAAATGATCTAATGAAGTAACCCTCTGCCCAAGATACAGATGATGGAACTGCACTGTTGGTTAGCTGAATGAAAATCTTAAGCTCTGTGGTGAAGATAAAAAAGTTGTAAGTTATCGTCGACGTGGTTAGGTCATTTTACAAAATTGGCGTTATGTGAAAATGGTGGATGACCACAAAAGAGCATAAAACAAAGGATGACTACATCATTCTATAACTGTCTGATGCCATCACCTGTAACTGCCAAAGCTCTGAGAAGGGTCTGGACGAGTCAAGAAATAACCCTACCCAGCAGTCCGTGGTGCTCTTGCCTCGCCCCTCCGTGTTTATTACCACGCGATGTAGGTTGTCAATGCTCAAAATAGTCAAAGTGTAGATTTTTTTTACTATTCTCAATACATATGACCCTCAGAAAGCAATTTAGCTGATAAAAAGTACACATTATTTACTACCTTTAAGGATTGCCAGCAGTGTAGAAGTAAACAGCTCAAATGCTAACTGAAGGGTCAGAGGTGCAATTCCACCAACTGATACATGGGATGAACACATGGCAATTTGTTTCCACACAAATGTACAACCTAGGACACCTATCGGGTAGCTCCCCTCTGTCCTACAGCACTATGAGCAGGAGACAACCCCTGACAAGGGAGAGGTTTGATCCATGCTACCATTACACTGGGTGTAAAATGAGGCATCTAGGAAACAGGCACAGAGACGCCCAGAACCATCAAAAAAGAAGAGCCACGAGTGAAGTGTGTAGGAAATCCATGCAGAAAAGTGATAGCAGCCACAACCTGAGACAGAGCAGCAAGCTTCTCTGCCCAAGGAATGAGAAAAGCTAAGTGACTTCGGGCAGCAAGCTGCCCTGCAGAGTGGGATACCTTTGGGCAATGATCAGCAATAAAAGAGCTTTGTTAACACACACACACCCAGGGCAGATGCCAAGGGGTCTCATGGTTGAGGATCAGAGAGGCTTGTGTGTCAATGTGGCTGGAAAAAAACATTGGACTGTAGAAATGTTTCCTGAATATTTCTGATCCTGACTCTTGTAACCTGTTAGCTTCCCTAATTAGCTCCATAATCATGAATCTAGTATTATCTGTGTGGCCTTTTCCATGGACTACCAAACCTAGCACAGAAACAGACTGCCCTGGTTGGCTGAGGTCCAAATAGAAGAAGGTTGGGGATTGGAGCTATGTCTGATCTCTGCTCCATAGGAATCATTCATGGGCTACTAGTCTTTTTTGTAGTAGTGTATTACCATGTCCAATGTTACAGGAAGATAATATATCTGATTAATTTCACTTGACTTTAAGCTATGAGTGAAGAAAAAATAAAAATATCTGACTTTCAGGTACTGATTTTGAAACATGTAATCTTTTTATTATTTATACTTAAATATTTTCATGTGAAGTGTTGAGAATTCAAGAAATGAAAAGGAGTCAAACATTTAATACTACATTCCTAATTTTTAAAAATCTTTAGCATATTCAGAAATAGCAAATAACATACATATTCAAAAATGAACCTCAAACACATGGGCATAAATTAAGATTTTCAAAAAAGTAAACATTATGTAAAATGAGAATTAAACACTGAAAACAAAGAATTAAAAAAATTTTAAGCGGATCTTGAAATATGAAATTTATAATGTGTCAAAAATGTTACAGAAATGTTAAAACCAAGAAATAACTAATAATCCTACTTCAAAAATGCAGCTGTATGCTTCTTAGTAAAGAGAAAGATATTTTAAAATGGAAACGCATTTGCTATGTAGTGGGAAACAGAGAATGGGAAGAGAGTGTATACTGATGAATTCTTCATTCTCATATATGAAGAAGCCTGGCAGGCTGCATTTCTGGGGTAGAGGGAGGCCTTCACCATTGTGAGTTAGAGATGAGTCCCAATTACTTTCTCAAATTAATATTGTTCTCCATTAGATTGTCCCATAGTAGTGCTACCTTAAAATTACCTCTTACAAGCACATAGCTGATGGCTATGTAGACAGCAGTTTTAAGAGAGGCAGGCATACACTATTGCTCTCTGGGCTCTGTAGACAGTCATTCCCCCTTACCTTCTGCCCTAAGCACTTGTGTTAGGTTACTCCTCAAATCTACTCAGGGACTTTTCCGGGTAGGGTACAGCCCACTTTGTTATGTATGTGGTTACCTGTGATTAGGAGGGCTTGCATGCCCCCAAGTGTATATAAGACTTGGTTGGAAATATATTCACTCTCTTTGCGGAGACCTAGGTCACAGAGGTCCTGGAGGTGAGGCCTGGTATGCCTTATCTTGTCTGATGTCTCCTTTATTTACCCCTCAATTACACAACCACCCCTTGGACCCATTCAATTCTGAGGGCTGGTACCCCACACTATGCTTTAATTTGAAACTTTTGTGTATAATAGCCCTAGGCATTAATGTGTGAATATGGATGATATAAGAATTATATTACTACCTAGAGTATTTTTTTAAATGTATCCATTTTTCTAAGAAAAAAATTAATAGTGTTCTCGTTCATATCAACAAAAACTGCCTGTCTACTATGTTGCAGATTCCAGGGCCATAAAAATGTTTCCTCTGCAAGCATCTGATAGGACCAGTGTTTTCTGGAAAGCGCATTGAGGTGCAAACTTTTGAAAATGTTGTTCATTGAAAACTACACATACTGTTGTTTTCTTCTCTGTTGTTGCTTTGTTTTGCTCTCTCTTGCTTTTTCTGCATATTATTATCTCTGCAAGTCTATCTAGATAAGACAGGAAGGATAAACAATCTGGAGGAGAAAACAAAGGGACCTATGGTTCCGGGGAGAAATGGGAGATGGGGAGGTGGGGAAAGGAAGTGGGTGTTAACAAGACCAGGGACAAGGGAAGAACAAGTAATCCAAAATTGAGGGCAAGGAGGGTATAGCAGGCCTGGTAGGGCTTGATCAAGGGCAATGTAATGAGAGGAATTACTGAAACCCAAATGAAGGCTGAACATGATAGTAGGAAAAAAGGAAAGTAAAAGGAAATAGAGGAAAGAACTAGGAGGCAACAGGCATTTATAGAAGTCTAAATACAGGTATGTGCATATGTAAATATATTTATATAGGATGATGGGAAAATAGATCTATGTGCATATATTTATAGGTTTAGTATTAAGGTAGCAGATGGACATTGGGCCTCCACTCAAGTACTTCCTCAACACAAGAACAGGGAGGAGACAAGCCAGTCAGGGTTCGGTATAGCACCGATGAAACATACAGCTTTCCTCTAGTTCAGCGGTTCTCAACCTGTGGGTTGCGATGCTTTGGAGGTTGAATGCCCCTTTCACAGGGGTCTCCTGATTCATAACTATAGCAAAATTACAGTTATGAAGTAGCAACAAAAATAATTTTATGGCTGGGTCACCACAACATGAGGAACTGTGTTAAAAGGTCGCGGCATTAACAAGGTTGAGAACCACTGCTCTAGATCTTTAATGCTCCCTCCTACTCACACTATCATGATCCCAATTCTACACTACAAATCCAGGTAGACCAGAGGATGTACGCTGGTACAGATCAGAGTGGTAAACACAGGGACTCAAGGACTGATAAACCCCTCAGGACCAATAAAGAGAATAGTGATACCAGGAGGGTAAGGGGAAAAAGGGAGCGGGAGAACGGATCACAATGATCTACATATAACCCCCTACCTGGGGGATGGACAACAGAAATGTAACTGAAGGGAGACATCGGACAGTGTAAGACACAAAAAAATAATACTAATTTATAAATTATCATGGGTTCGTGAGGGAAGGAGGGTGGGGGAGGGAGGTAGAAAAGTGAGAAGCT